TTGGCTCATATGCTTCCCATTTTGGCTGTTGATAGGCACTTTGAGGTTAGAGGACCATTACAATAATATCAGTGGTTCTTTGATGCTATGTTTTCTCCCTATCTAATTTCTCAGGTTAAAGCGACTCACCTCTATCTGTGGTAGGCAGTTTGCTGCTGGTGTTACTCTGCTCTTGTTCCACAAAACTCCTCCATCAGTGAATCAGCTCTGACGTACATAAAGATAACAAGTTAGATAAAGCTATCCAAATATAGCCATAAAAACTACAATGATAAGAATTAAGAGTTATTACTAAAATACATGCATGAATAATCACATATTCACCTTTAAACATTACCTTGAAAAAAGAAATACTTGTAAGCAGCAATAAGAAAGATAGTAGGATGCCACTGGGATGTCTGTAGATGTAATTTATAATCTGATCTCTGAGTGAGCAGCACAACACACCACAGTGGAGACTGCATACAAGGATGTATACAGGGATACATGATACACAGTAACTTGTTTTAATGTAACCTTCCCAGTATTGATGTGTTCTGATTTATTAGCAGATTGTTTTTACATACACAACAGAGAGGTTTCTGCCTATGTCATACAAAAGAACAAATAGCAGTATATTATTATTATTATTATCAAGTGTGCTATGTATTTACAAAGAAAGCAGACTAACGCTCATGCTAGTGCAGTGGATCGTTATAATGTCATCCTTCATAACCTTTTCTTAAATAACATAAATTTATGATAAATTCTGAAAGGACAATGAAGAAAACGTGGCAGGTAGGAAATAATTAACTTTTAAATATTTATTTTGTTCCATCAACATATAGTAATATATTTGGTTTAGACTCTTTCTGATTAGCATGCTGTTAAACAACACATGAACAACAATTCAACAGCTTTAAAATATGTTGAGTAAGCAAATAAGGCTTCCAGTTCAAATGAATGCTAGAATATTTGAGTTATAAATAAATATACAAAGATTTTAATGCATGTACCTCACCGAGGTATAAACACTATTACATAGTGATGCATTTCTTGATGCTTAATTACAAAAAACAACAAAACAACAACAACAAACACAAAAACACCTTTTCGCTCTGCATTCACACTCCCTAAGCACTTCTGGGATCGATTTGCCCTGCATGAATCACGTGATGACGTGACTCTCCATTCAACGGCTCTGGTCTAGCCGTAAAGTGCAATGCGCGTTGCTATTGGAGACGCAATATAGGAAGTAAATTCCACTGCCTGCGAATCTTGTTTTGGGAACTCGAAAACAAGGCAGAAATATATCTGTCACGGTAAATTTGTTCTGCTGTTTCTCATTTGGATCCGATTTTAACCGTCGACCCGTGTGGCTGTAACGCTAACGTTTAACTCCGTTAATCTAAGCAGGTAAACAGCCCGTGTGAAGCTGTGGGTCTAGCTATTAGCTGACATAAATATAGAAGCTAACTGCATATTAGATCATAGAAGTTGTTTGATTTATTACGCCACATTGCTCTTGAGGCTGATAGTGAAGTGTACCGACTCAGGTGTACTAAGTAATCATTATTTATGTATATTTTACTCCAAGGAGTCAGAGTTGTACTTGTTTTAACTTTATTCTATATCTATTAGTTTCCCTTTTGGTGGTAATTTACTATCAGCTTGTTTGTGCGTTCACTTTTAGGTATTAAAAGTCAATGAGTCGCAGTCGCAACCCACCTCCTCGGGGTCAAGGGGCGGCCCGAGCCAAACAGGTAATTATCCTCCCTGTCTGATAACTATAAACTTTACGTGTGGCAAGCAGGCAGGATTCTGAAGCCGTTTCTCCTATCTGTCTGTCTGTGTCACAGATGGGGCTGCTCCTTGACCTGTCTCCGGATGGCGGCATGGATGATGAGGGAAATGATGATGAGCTGGAGGCAGAGTTACTCAATCTGGTGGGAGGAAGGAAGGAAGGAAGAGCACAAGGGAAGAAAGGTGATGGGAGAGGTGAGGATGACACACTTCTGGCACATTAAACCTTCTTTCTTTCTCATTCATGTGCTAATGTTTAAACTGACCTTTTCCTTATATCACAAAGAGCAGTTGACATTATGTTCATATGTTTGCCTCTTCTGTCCAGCTCCTGTTCCCATGGCTGAAATTGAGCGAATGGCAGCTCTGTGTATGAAAGATATAGATGATGACGACATGGGGGACGATGATTTGGATGATGAAGATCTGTTGGTAATGGACACAAACAGACACAAACGTAAGCGTTTCAGGGACTAAACAGTTAACTGACCTTTTCCTTTCTGCACATAGGCAGAACTGAATGATGTTTTGGAGGATGATGAGGAGCATACTCCAGCTCCAACTCCACCTGCCGCTACACCAACAGCTCCTAAAACTAGTGTCGCCTCACACCCCTCACCTCCTGCTGCTCCCAGTGGTGCAACTGGGTTGGAGTCACGGCTCCTCGAGCGTATTGAAATGTATCAGACTGCCATTTCCAACGCCAAGGCTGCAGGCGAGACTAGCAAATTTCGAAGATATGAACGCGGGCTGAAGGTAAAGCAAATAGACATGCTTTCTTATAGGATGTGAAGTCTTGTGTACATACTTTTGTCTTTATTTAGAGTCTTCAAGTTTTCATTTACTGCTCAGATCAAGCTTTATGTTTATGGGTTTTTTTCTTCCACCTTAGACTCTACAGTCCATGCTAACATCTGCCAAGAAAGGAAAACCAGTCAATGAAGAAGAGATGCCTCCACCTGTTGCTCTCGGCGGAAAGTCGGATGCCCCAGCCCAGCCTGAAGTGGTTAAAGAACGAGAGGTGCCCAAGCCTGTGCTGGTCCCTCCCCCTCCCACCAATCAGAAACCTCTGAGGGAAGCTGACCCGACACCTCTGAACACTAAGCCAACGCGTTTGATCCCTCCCCAAAAGCAAGCTGCTGCCATGACTCCGGAAACACCTGCCATCTCTCCCCTCACACCCAGCCAGCCTAATGCTCATCACTCAGGTAAACACATTATGTGAATTATACTGTTTATTAGAAGAGTATAAAAGTAAATACACGGTCATAGTGCAGGTTAATCAGATTAGCATCCTTACTCAAAAGAATTAAATAATATTCGGTCATTTAAATAATTGCGCTAAACAACATTGCATAAAAGATTAATTTGCCTTGTTTTTCTTTCCTTCTGCAGATCTTTACTTCTGTTTCAGTTTGAGAGAAGCTTTCTTTCCTTTATTAAGATTAAAATACATGTGGGATTTTTTTCACTTCTGATCAGACAGTACATTTTCTCTAGCTTCTGTGATTGACGACACCTTTTTAATAAATGCCTCACAATGTAAACTCACAGCAAAAAGGTTCTTGGTTCAGATCCACTGGTCAGTGGCTTTTCTGCGTGCAGTTTGCATGACTGCTTTTGTCTCCTTGCTCCCACCGTCAGACATACAGTACATGCTCAGTTAATGAGTGACTCTAAACTGGCTGTAGGTGTGGATGACAGTGTGTTGTCTATCTCTTCGAGTTAGCCCTGTGATGCCCAGAGTGCACCACTCTACCTCTCAGTCCTGTAGCAGCTGGGATAGGTTTTGGCTCTTCCATGACCCTTATTTTGATAAGCGGTTAAAGAGATCGATGGACGCTTAACTGACAACATACATTATAATTTATGCTGCTCTGACAAGTAGCGTGTCTGCTAACTAAATGTTACTGTAATGCTCGCCCTGACATGACTATGTCTTCTTCACGCAGAGGCGAAACAGGCAGTGTTGACCAGACAGAGGGATTATAAGATGGCTGCCATACACGCCAAACAGAGCGGCAACATTGACCAGGCCAAACAGCACTACCTCACTGCCAAGGTAACACAGCTGATGTCAGCCAGGTCGTTGGAGTGAGTGTGTGTGTGTGTGTGTGTGTGTGTGGGTGTAGTGTGGGGCTTATTCATAGTTTGTTTTAACAACACTGCTCTTGATTTATGCAGAACTTCGATGTGATACTGGAGGCACTGGACCGGGGCGAACCAGTAGACCTGAGCTCACTGCCTCCTCCACCTGGTCAGTGTTTAAAGGAAAACTTTACCTGGAGAATTTTAGTTTTAAATGCTCATTCATGCACTCACTATAGTGCTAACAGTTTCCTTTAATAAAATTAAATAAAGGCCCATTAAAAAAAAATAATTTATCTTCAAAAAACGTCCAGTTTATAAGCTCCACACTCTAACACACATCCTCTTTACTTAATTGAGTTATGTTATGTGACATATTTGTTTCTGCACATGTGCCAGAGTCTCACTCAGATGTTGCTTGTTATTTGGCTGGTCTTGTTGAGGCACAGTAAAAATTCAGAAACTGTAACAGAAATTAGCACCAATCACACAAGCATCATTTAAAACATTTTTATATTTATTCAGGTGCAAAGTGCTTTCTGAGCAATGGAGATGTAAAAGAGTTTCAGAGACTAATTCACAACAAAAACAATAAAAACAACACGGATGATTGAGGACTGTATATTAAAAAAATCTGTTTCACTGTAATAGTTGAGAGCAAGAGTTACATCATCAAGTCTTTGGATTAAGTTCAATCGTATATTTTTTGGTCCAGAAACTTCTCGGCCACGACCTCTATATTGTACCAAAAAACGGTCTTGGATTTGATAATCATGTTCAAACGGGGTTTAATGTGTACTTCATTGTTAGTTACAATCATAACCTGTGTCCACTTCTCCACCGTCTGCAGGAGACGTAATAACAGAGCAAAGTGCGCCTCCTCAGTCTTCTTCTAAACCTGACCCTCCTGCTGCTCCTGCTGCTCCTGCTGCTCCTGCTGCTCCTGCTGCTCCTGCTCCCTCCCAGGTGGCCACTCCGGGTAAGATTCCAGGAGTCCCAGTCCTTCACTTTAACCAAAAAGTATGATGAAGTGATTTTAAATAAAAAAAGTCATGTTAAAATAATAATGTACGTTTCTGTGTGTTTGTGCCTTCTGAAGATCTGCCTGCTCCCAAAAGTTTGGCTGAAGCCCTGCAGCAGAGGTTGGACATATACAAGTCAGCAGCAGAGGGAGCTAAGAGCAAAGGGGACGATCGCAAGGCCCGGATGCATCAGCGCATTATGAAGGTACACAACACAAATATTGTGGCACATGTGTTTGCTTATTTTTTCCAAATAAACTCTATACTCAGTGAAACTAAAAGAAACAAGATATTAAAACATTTTTAGCTGCTACAGCTTCTTTTTTTAAAAACGAATTCCTCGGTTTTGTGCTTGGATTGGAAATGGTTTTGTGTGCTTTCATATGTTAGATTTAAAAATAAATAAATAAATAAAATGGGACTAAACAGTTAACTGACCTTTTCCTTTCTGC